GTTCGTAGCTCTTTCTTTTTTTAAAACCTTTTTTCCCACGAAATTGGTTTGATTAACAAATCAAAAATTCGAGGGTTTTTCGAAACGAGTCTAGTTATCTATATATATATATATATATATATATATATATATATATATATATATACCTGTAAATGAACAAACAACTTTGAGTAAAAAGTACCGACAAGGTGTGTCTGTTAATTTTTTTTATTGTACTTTTCCAATTTTCAGAAAATTTTGGAATTTTACACGAAGTTGTGCATAAACTGTTCGAAGTACATATTATATTTTGTTATTTTCATTCAAGTCCTTTCGATTTTCACAGTCATTATCAAGAAAAAACGTTGTGTCTATTTGGCAGTTAGAATTCTTTTTTCTGCATTCTGGTATTCTTTTCATCAAATTTGTTTCGATTACTCATCTTTTGTTCCCGATCATTATGTTTCTGTATTCTAATTCTTCCACATTCAGTTGACTTGAAGAGGTTAAGATTGTATGGATCTGGAAAGCATGCAGTTGGGAGTCAGTTCCACAGCGCAACGGTTCATGACGAGAAGCTGCTGGAGTGGGACTTACATCTCACCAGTGACATAGGAAGGGAAACGAAGGTGGTTGGCTACCACGTGGCCGTGAAGTTTAGATATTGTGGAAGAAAGGAATGTAGTAGGCTGAGAAAACGGAAATAGCGATAGAGTAGTCAAAAACTTGGGATGTTTCATCTGTGAAAAAAGGAGTCGTCCACAAGAATCTTGCGATGTTTCATCTGTGAAAAAAAAGGTCGTCCACAAGAATCTTGTGATGTTTTGTCTGTGAAAAAAGAGGTGGTCCAAAAGAATCTTGCGACGCTTCGTCTGCGAAAAAAGAGGACGTCCACAAGAATCTTGCGATGTTTCACCTGTGAAAAAAGAGGTCGTCCACAAGAATCTTTTGATGTTTCATCTGTGAAAAAAGAGGTCGTCCACAAGAATCTTGTGATGTTTTGTCTGTGAAAAATTAGGTCGTCCACAAGAATCTTGCGACATTTCCTCCGTGAAAAAAGAGGTCGTCCACAAGAATCTTGTGATGTTTCATCTGTTAAAAAAGAGGACGTTTACAAGAATCTTGCGATGTTTCACCTGTGAAAAAAGAGGTCGTCCACAAGAATCTTTTGATGTTTCATCTGTGAAAAAAGAAGTCGTCCACAAGAATCTTGTGATGTTTCATCTGTTAAAAAAGAGGTCGTTTACAAGAATCTTGCGATGTTTCATCGGTGAAAAAAGAGGTCGTCCACAAGAATCTTTCGTCGTTTCATCTGTGAAAAAAGAGGTCGTCCACACGAATCTTTCGATGTTTCATCTGTGAAAAAAGAGGTACTCCACAAGAATATTGTGATGTTTGGTCTGTGAAAAAAAAGGTCGTCCACAAGAATCTTGCAACATTTCGTCCGTGAAAAAACATGTCGTCCACAAGAATCTTGTGCTGTTTCCTCTGTGAAAAAGAGGTCGTCCACAAGAATCTTTCGTCGTTTCGTCTGTGAAAATAGAGATCGTCCAAAAGAATCTTGCGATGTTTCGTCTGTGAAAAAAGAGGTCGTCCACAAGAATCTTATGCTGTTTCGTCTGTGAAAAAAGAGGTCGTCCACAAGAATCTTGTGCTGTTTCGTCTGTGAAAAAAAATGTCGTCCACAAGAATCTTGCGACATTTCGTCCGTGAAAAAAGAGGTAGTTCACAAGAATCTTGCGAAGTTTCGTTTGCGAGAATAGAGGTCGTCCACACGAATCTTGCCACGTTTCGTCTGCGAGAATAGAGGTCGTCCACAAAAATCTTGCGACGTTTCATCTGTGAAAAAAGAGGTCGTCCACAAGAATCTTGCGATGTTTCATCTGTTAAAAAAGAGGTCGGTTACAAAAAACTTGCGATGTTTCATCTGTGAAAAAAAGGTCGTCCACAAGAATCTTGCGCTATTTGATCTGTGAAAAAAAAGGTCGTCCACAAGAATCATTTGATGTTTCAACTGTGAAAAAAGAGGTCGTCCACACGAATCTATCGATGTTTCATCTGTGAAAAAAGAGGTGGTCCACAAGAATCTTGCGATATTTCGTCCGTGAAAAAAGAGGTCGTTTACAAGAATCTTGTGATGTTTCATCTGTGGAAAAGAGGTCGTCCACAAGAACCTTTCGTCGTTTCGTCTGTGAAAATAGAGATCGTCCACAAGAATCACGCGACATTTCGTCCGTGAAAAAAAGGTCGTCCACAAGAATCTTTTGATGTTTCGTCTGTGAAAAAAGAGGTCGTCCACAAGAATCTTGTGATGTTTCATCTGTGAAAAAAGAGGTCGTCCACAAGAATTTTGCGAAGTTTCGTCTGCGAGAATAGAGGTCGAATCTTGCCACGTCCACAATAGAGGTCGTCCAGAATCTTTTGATGTTTCATCTGTGAAAAAAAAGGTCGTCCACAAGAATCTTGCGATTTTTCACCTTTCACCTCTGAAAAAAAGAGGTCGTTTTGTCATCTGTGAAAAAGAGGTCGTCCAAAGAATCTTGTGATGTTTCGTCTGTGAAAAATCTTTTGGTCGTCCACACCAGAATCTTTGTGCTGTTTCGTCTGTGAAAAATAGGTCGTCCACAAGAATCTTGTTCTTTCCCGTCTGTGAAAAAAGAGTTCGTCCACAAGAATCTTGTGCTGTTTCGTCCGTGAAAAAAGAGGTCGTCCACAAGAATCTTGTGCTGTTTCGTCTGTGAAAAAATAGGTCGTCTACAAGAATCTTGTTCTGTTTCGTCTGTGATAAAAGAGGTCACCCACAAGAATGTTGTGCTGTTTCGTCTGTGAAAAAGAGGTCGTCCACAAGAATCTTGCGATGTTTCACCTGTGAAAAAAGTGGTCGTCCACAAGAATCTTGCGATGTTTCACCTGTGAAAAAAGAGGTCGTCCACAAGAATCTTGTGATGCTTCGTCTGTGAAAAAAAATGTCGTCCACAAGAATCTTCCGACATTTCGTCGTGAAAAAAAAGGTCGTCCACAAGAATCTTTTGATGTTTCATCTGTTTCCACAAGATGTTTCTTCTCTTTTGACGATGAAAAAAGAGGTCGTCCACAAGAATCTTGTGCTGTTTCATCTGTGAAAAAGAGGTCGTCCACAAGAATCTTGTGATGTTTCGTCCGTAAAAAATGGTTCAAAAAAGACGTCGTCCACAAGAATGTTTTGATGTTTCATGACATTTCGTCCGTGAAAAAAGTGGTCGTCCACAAGAATCTTGTGCTGTTTCATCTGTGAAAAAGAGGTCGTCCACAAGAATCTTTTGATGTTTCGTCTGTGAAAAAAGAGGTCGTCGACAAGAATCTTGCGACGTTTCATCTGTGAAAAAAGAGGTCGTCCACAAGAATCTTGTGCTGTTTCCTCTGTGAAACAGGAGATCGTCCACAAGAATCTTTTGATGTTTCATCTGTGAAAAAAGAGGTCGTCCACAAGAATCTTGCGACGTTTTGTCCGTGAAAAAAAAGTCGGAATTTTGTGGTCGTCGTCCACAAAAATCTTGCGATGTTTCACCTGTGAAAAAAGAGGTCGTCCACAAGAATCTTGCGACATTTCCTCCGTGAAAAAAAGAGGTCACACACAAGAAACTTGCGTCGTTTCGTCCGTGAAAAGAGGTCGTCCACAAGAATCTTGTGATGTTTCATCTTTGAAAATAGACGTCGTCCACAAGAATCTTTTGATGTTTCATCTGTGAAAAAAGATGTCGTCCACAAGAATCTTTTGATGTTTCATCTGTGAAAAAAGGTAGTCCACAAGAATCTTGTGATGTTTTGTCTGTGAAAAATTAGGTCGTCCACAAGAATCTTGCGGCATTTCGTCCGTGAAAAAAGAGGTCGTTTACAAGAATCTTGTGATGTATCATCTGTGGAAAAGAGGTCGTCCACAAGAATCTTTTGTCGTTTCGTCTGTGAATATAGAGATCGTCCACAAGAATCTTGTGCTGTTTCATCTGTGAAAATAAATGTCGTTCACAAGAATCTTGCGACATTTCGTCCGTGAAAAAAAGGTCGTCCACAAGAATCTTGCGCTATTTCATCTGTGAAAAAAAAGGTCGTCGACAAGAATCTTTTGATGTTTTATCTGTGAAAAAAGAGGTAGTCCACACGAATCTTTTGGTGTTTCATCTGTGAAAAAAGAGGTCGTCCAAAAGAATCTTGTGCTGTTTCGTCTGTGAAAAAAGAGGTCGTCCACAAGAATCTTGTGCTGTTTCGTCTGTGAAAAAATGTCGTCCACAAGAATCTTTTGATGTTTCATCTGTGAAAATAAATGTCGTCCACAAGAATCTTGCGATATTTCGTCCGTGAAAAAAGAGGTAGTTCACAAGAATCTTGCGAAGTTTCGTCTGCAAGAATAGAGGTCGTCCACACGAATCTTGCCACGTTTCGTCTGCGAGAATAGAGGTCGTTCACAACGAATCTTGCCACGTTTCGTATGCGAGAATAGAGGTCGTCCACAAAAATCTTGCGACGTTTCATCTGTGAAAAAAGAGGTCGTCCACAAGAATCTTGTGCTGTTTCCTCTGTGAAACAGGAGATCGTCCACAAGAATCTTTTGATGTTTCATCTGTGAAAAAAGAGGTGGTCCACAAGAATCTTGTAATATTTTGTCTGTGAAAAAATAGGTCGTCCACAAGAATCTTGTCAAAAAAAAGTCGTCCACAAGAATTTTTGTCTGTGAAAAAATAGGTCGTCCACAAGAATCTTGCGATATTTTGTCCGTGAAAAAAGAGGTCGTCCACAAGAATCTTGCGCTATTTCATCTGTGAAAAAAAAAGTCGTCCACAAGAATCTTTGATTTTCATCTGTGAAAAAAAGTGTCGTCCACAAGAATCTTTTGACGAAAAAGGTCATCTTTTGTGGAAAATTAGGTCGTCCACAAGAATCTTTGCGAAAAAAGAGGTCGTTTACAAGAATCTTTTGTCATCTCGTCCACCTTTGTCGTTTCGTCTGTGAAAAAAGAGGCCGTCCACAAGAATCTTGTGACTGTTTCATCTTCGTGAAAAAAAAGAGGTCACCCACAAGAAAAACTCGTCGTTTTTGATGTTTCGTCTGTGAAAAAAAGAGGTCCTCCACAAGAATCTTTTTTCGTCTGTGAAAAGAGGTCCTCCACAAGTCTTTTGAAAAAAAAGATGTCGTTTTTGATGACAAGTTTCATCTGTGAAAAAAGATGTCGCCCACAAGAATCTATTGATGTTTCGTCTGTGAAAAAAGAGTTCGTCCACAAGAATCTTGTGCTGTTTCGTCCGTGAAAAAAGAGGTCGTCCACAAGAATCTTGCGACATTTCGTCCGTGAAAAAAGTGGTCGTCCACAAGAATCTTGTGCTGTTTCTTCTGTGAAAAAAGAGGTTGTCCACAAGAATCTTGTGATGTTTCGTCTGTAAAAAAGAAATGTCGTCCACAAAAATCGTCCACATTTCGTCCTGTGAAAAAGAGGTCGGTCGTCGACAAGAATCTTGCGACATTTCAAAATAGTGGTCTCCACAAGAATCTTGCGATGAAAAAAGGTCGTCCACAAGAATCTTGTCTGTTTCTTTCTGTGAAAAGAGGTTGTCCACAAGAATCTTGCCACGTTTTGACTGCGGGAAAAGTGGTCGTCCGTCCAAAGAATCTTGCGATGTTTCATCTGTGAAAAAATGGTCGTCCAGGTCGTCTACAAGAATCTTGCGATGTTTCATCTGTGAAAAAAGAGGTCGTCCACAAGAATCTTGTGCGGTTTCGTCTGTGAAAAAAGAGGTCGTCCACAAGAATCTTTTGATGTTTCATCTGTGAAAAAAGTGGTCGTCCACAAGAATCTTTTGATGTTTCATCTGTGAAAAAAGAGGTCGTCCACAAGAATCTTGTGATGTTTCGTCTGTGAAAAAAAATGTCGTCCAAAAGAATCTTGCAACATTTCGTCCGTGAAAAAAGAGGTCGTCCACAAGAATCTTGTTCTATTTCGTCTGTGAAAAAAGAGGTCGTCCACAAGAATCTTGTGCTGTTTCATGTGAAAAAAGAGGTCGTCCACAAGAATCTTGTGCTGTTTCGTCAGTGAAAAAAGAGGTCGTCCACAAGAATCTTGTGATGTTTCGTCCGTGAAAAAAGAGGTCGTCCACAAGAATCTTGTGCTGTTTCATCTGTGAAAAAGAGGTCGTCCTCAAAGATTCTTGTGATGTTTCGTCTGTGAAAAAAAATGTCGTCCACAAGAATCTTGCGACGTTTCGTCCGTGAAAAAAGTGGTCGTCCACAAGAATCTTGTGCTGTTTCATCTGTGAAAAAGAGGTCGTCCACAGGAATCTTTTGATGTTTCGTCTGTGAAAAAAAATTTCGTCCACAAGAATCTTGCGAAAAAAGAGGTTTCATCTGACTGAGAGAATAGAGGTGTCCACACGAATCTTGCCACGTTTTGTCCACGAGAATACCTGAGGTCGTTCACAACTCTTGCCACGTTTCGTATGGAGAATAGAGGTCGTCCACAAAAATCTTGCGACGTTTCATATGTGAAAAAGAGGTCGTCCACAAGAATCTTGTGCTGTTCAGGAGATCGTCCACAAGAATCTTTTTGATGTTTCATCTGTGAAAAAGAGGTCGTCCACAAGAATCTTGTGCTGTTTCATCTGTGTCCGTGAAAAAGTGGTCGTCCACAAGAATCTTGCGCTATTTCATCTGTGAAAAAAAGTCGATGTTTCATCATCTGTGAAAAAGATGTCGTCCACAAGAATCTTTTGATGTTTCATCTCTGAAAAAAAAAGAGGTCGTCCACAAGAATCTTGCGACATTTCGTCCGTGAAAAAGATGGTCCACAAGAATCTATTGATGTTTCAAAAATCTTGTTCTGTTGTTTCGTCTGTGAAAAAGAGGTCGTCCACAAGAATCTTGCGACATTTCGTCCGTGAAAAAGTGGTCGTCCACAAGAATCTTGTGCTGTTTCTTCTGTGAAAAAGAGGTCGTCCACAAGAATCTTGTGATGTTTCACCTGTTAGAAAAAGAGGTCGTTCCGTTTCATCAAATAGAATCTTGCGATGTTTCACCTGTGAAAAAAGAGTCGTCCACAAGAATCTTGTGATGTTTCATCTGTGAAAAAAGAGGTCGTCCACAAGAATCTTGTGCTGTTTGGTCTGTGAAAAAGTTTCGTCCACAAGAATCATTTGATATTTCATCTGTGAAAAAAGAGGTCGTCCACAAGAATCTTTTGATGTTTCATCTGTGAAAAAAGAGGTCGTCCACAAGAATCTTGTGATTTTTCGTCTCGTCTGTTAACAAAAAAAGTCGTCGACAAGAAACTTGTGACATTTCGTCCGTGAAAAAAAGAGGTCGTCGACAAGAATCTTTTCGTCAGACGTTTCGTCTTTGCGAGAAAAAGAGGTGGTCCACACGAATCTTGCCACGTTTCGATTCTGCGTCAAAAAAAGGTCGTCCACAAAATCTTGCGACGTTTCGTCTGTGAAAAAGAGGTCGTCCACAAAATCTTGTGATGTTTCATCTGTGAAAAAGGTCGTCCACAAGAATCTTTTGATGTTTTGTCTGTGAAAAAAATTGTCGTCCACAAGAATCTTGCGATGTTTCATCTGCGAGAATAGAGGTGGTCCACACGAATCTTGCCACGTTTCGACTGCCGGAATAGTGGTCGTCCACAAATATCTTGTGACCTTTCATCTGTGAAAAAAGAGGTCGTCCACAAGAATCTTGCGATGTTTCATCTGTGAAAAAAGAGGTCGTCCACAAGAATCTTGTGCTGTTTCATCTGTGAAAAAAGTGGTCGTCCACAAGAATCTTGCGATGTTTCATCTGTGAAAAAAGATGTCGTCCACAAGAATCTTTTGATGTTTCATCTCTGAAAAAAGGTCGTCCACAAGAATCTTGCGACATTTCGTCCGTGAAAAAATGTGGTCGTCCACAAGAATCTTGTTCTGTTTCGTCTGTTAAAAAGAGGTCACCCACAAGAATCTTGTGGTTTCGTCCCACAAGAATCTTGTGTTTCTGTTTCGTCTGTTAAAAAGAGGTCGTCCACAAGAATCTTGTGATGTTTCTTCTGTGAAAAAGAGGTCGTCCAAAAGAGGTCGTCGTCCACAAGAATCATTTGATATTTCATCTGTGAAAAAAGAGGCCGTCCACAAGAATCTTTTGATGTTTCATCTGTGAAAAAAGAGGTCGTCCACAAGAATCTTGTGATTTTTCGTCTGTTAACAAAAATGTCGTCGACAAGAAACTTGTGACATTTCGTCCGTGAAAAAAGAGGTCGTCGACAAGAATCTTGCGACGTTTCGTCTGCGAGAATAGAGGTGGTCCACACGAATCTTGCCACGTTTCGACTGCGCAAATAGAGGTCGTCCACAAAAATCTTGCGACGTTTCATCTGTGAAAAAAGAGGTCGTCCACAAAAATCTTGCGATGTTTCATCTGTGAAAAAAGGTCGTCCACAAGAATCTTGTGATGTTTTGTCTGTGAAAAAATGTCGTGAACAAGAATGAAAATCTGGTTAGTCCACAAGAATCATTTGATGTTTCATCTTGTGACCTTTCATCTGTGAAAAAGAGGTCGTCCACAAGAATCTTGCGATGTTTCATCTGTGAAAAAAGATGTCGTCCACAAGAATCTTGTTCTTTTTCGTCTGTGAAAAAAGAGGTCGTCCACAAGAAACTTTTGATATTTCATCTGTGAAAAAAGTGGTCGTCCACAAGAATCTTGTTCTGTTTCGTCTGTGAAAAAAAATGTCGTCCACAAGAATCTTGCGACATTTCGTCCGTGAAAAAAGTGGTCGTCCACAAGAATCTTGTTCTGTTTCGTCTGTTAAAAAAGAGGTCACCCACAAGAATCTTGTGCTGTTTCGTCTGTGAAAAAGAGGTCGTCTACAAGAATCCTTCGATGTTTCACCTGTGAAAAAAGAGGTCGTCCACAAGAATCTTGCGATGTTTCACCTGTGAAAAAAGAGTCGTCCACAAGAATCTTGTGATGTTTCGTCTGTGAAAAAAAATGTCGTCCACAAGAATCTTCCGACATTTCGTCTGTGAAATAAGTGGTCGTCCACAAGAATCTTGTGATGTTTCTTCTGTGAAAAAAGAGGTCGTCCACAAGAATCTTGTGCTGTTTCGTCTGTGAAAAAGGTTAGTCCACAAGAATCATTTGATGTTTCATCTGTGAAAAAAGAGGCCGTCCACAAGAATCTTTTGATGTTTCATCTGTGAAAAAAGATGTCGTCCACAAGAATCTTGTGATTTTTCGTCTGTTAACAAAAATGTCGTCGACAAGAAACTTGTGACATTTCGTCCGTGAAAAAAGAGGTCTGCGAGAATAGAGGTGGTCCACACGAATCTTGCCACGTTTCGACTGCGCAAATAGAGGTCGTCCACAAAAATCTTGCGACGTTTCATCTGTGAAAAAAGAGGTCGTCCACAAGAATCTTGCGATGTTTCATCTCTGAAAAAAGGTCGTCCACAAGAATCTTTTGATGTTTCATCTGTGAAAAAAAATGTCGTCCACAAGAATCTTCCGACATTTCGTCTGTGAAATAAGTGGTCGTCCACAAGAATCTTGTGATGTTTCTTCTGTGAAAAAAGAGGTCGTCCACAAGAATCTTGTGCTGTTTCTGTGAAAAAAGGTTAGTCCAAAGGTTAGTCCACAAGAATCATTTGATGTTTCATCTGTGAAAAAGAGGTCGTCCACAAGAATCTTTTGATGTTTCATCTGTGAAAAAATTTCGTCCGTGAAAAAGATGTCGTCCACAAGAATCTTTTGATGTTTCATCTGTGAAAAAAGATCTCGTCCACAAGAATCTTGTGATGTTTTGTCTGTGTAAAAAGAGGTCGTCCACAAGAATCTTGCGACATTTCCTCCGTGAAAAAAAAGAGGTCACCCACAAGAAACTTGCGTCGTTTTGTCTGTGAAAAAGAGGTCGTCCACAAGAATCTTGTGATGTTTCATCTATGAAAAAAGATGTCGTCCACAAGAAACTTGCTCTATTTCATCTGTGAAAAAAGAGGTAGTCCACAAGAATCTTGTGATGTTTCGTCTGTGAAAAATAAATCGTCCACAAGAATCTTGCGACATTTCGTCCGTGAATAAAGAGGTCGTACACAATAATCTTGTGCTGTTTCGTCTGTGAAAAAGAGGTCGTCCACAAGAATCTTGTGCTCTTTCGGCTCTGAAAAAGTCGTCGTCCACCAGAATCTTGCGATGTTTCGTCTGTGAAAAATGAGGTCGTCCACAATAATCTTGCGACGTTTCGTCTGTGAAAAAGATATCTTCCACAAGAATCTTGCGACGTTTCATCTGTGAAAAACAGGTCGTCCGCAAGAATCTTGCGATATTTCGCCTGTGAAAAAATAGGCCGTCCACAATAATCTTGTGCTGTTTCGTCTGTGAAAAAGAGATCATCTCCAAGAATCTTGTGCTGTTTCGTCTGTGAAAAAGAGGTCATCCACAAGAATCTTTCGACGTTTCGTCTGCGAGAATAGAGGTCGTCCACAAGAATCTTGCGACGTTTCGTCTGCGAGAATAGAGGTCGTCCACAAGAATCTTTCAACGTTTCGTCTGCGTGAATAGAGGTCGTCCACAAGAATCTTGCGACGTTTCGTCTTCGAGAATAGAGGTCTTGCGACATTTCGTCCGTGAAGAAACTGTCGTCCACAAGATTCTTGCGACTTTTCGTCTGCGAGAAAAGTGTTTTCCACAAAAGTGTGGATTAAACTTTAAAACAAACCAATGAGTTTGTGTTATTCTTAAAATCTAATTACTTTTCTCATTTCAATAAATACAATAAACAAATTTATAAAATGCACAAGATGGGTTCTCACGTGCAAAAATTTTCTGGCACGACACGATGTATATATATATATATATATATATATATATATATATATATATATATATTATATATTATGGGACCTTACCCATAATAACATAATGGACTATTCCATACGTAATAAATACTGCGTCTCAATAGGAAGCAGGGTGTTCTGTCTTAAGTCGGCTGATCTCTCTGCCTTCGGGCGGGGAGAAACCCGAACGAGACTACGCCGTAGGGCGTTTTTTTTCGGGGAGGTAAACCGACCCTGAACCCGTTTATACGGGTTCAATGGGCATATTTTTTGCCGAGCCCACAGGCTCGGAGATCCCAACCTTAAACCGGCCTTGTGGCACATAGTGCCCTCGTAGGGTGGGGACTAAATACCGTTCACTCTGAAGTCTGGAGTGAAGTCCGTCAGGAGTCTGTCAGTCAGTCAGAGCGAGTCAGTCAGTCGAGAAAGAGGCAGTCCGAAACAGAGTTGCGTTCAGACAATTACTACTAAACCTGATTGTTCATACTAACACTTTCTACTTCTCTGTATATATTCCTGTTTGTAATATATCTGTGTTATTCCATATCCGTTTTCGAGTTCTTCTTTATTGGTTTTACCTTGGATTATCACCGTGGTTCAAGGAACCGGACCATAACATATATATATATATATATATATATATATATATATATATATATATATATATATGTATATATCTGTGTGTGTGTGTGTGTGTGTGTGTGTGTGTGTGTGTGTGACAGTCTGTTTCATAATTAAACGCAAAAATGAAACAAACTCTCACCTTTGTGTGTCGACAGCAATGCCCACTTTCATATTTAAATAAACTCTATCCCTGACATCGAACACGTTAATCTATGAATATATCATACCTTAAAACTACATTTTCATCATATACGTATATATATGTGTATGTGTGTGTTTATATATATATATATATATATATATATATATATATATATATATATATATATATATCCGTGTGTGTGTCTATGTGTGTGTATGTGCCATTAGGAAAGAACCGTTAGATTGATGATCCGAATTTTTTTAGTATTTTTTTAAACCGCGCTCGATACACAAGTAGAGCCTAGATTATAATTACTTTTTTGAAAATATCATTCCATCGCTACACGGGAATTACCATGTTTCAAAAACAGAAGCGAAAAACTTCCAATTCAATTACAGAAATTAAATTAAATTAAAGTCCCTAGTTCTGTTTCATTTTCAAGCGAATTTTGCAATAACTTATTTTGAAATTTACGGAGCTTTATAAGCACATACATTCATAATATTAGTTTTTATGGATATGGAAAAAGCCAAATAAGGGTCGGAATGGTATTCATTTTCACTGCCAACTATTGTATCAACATATTAGTTACTTTCGAAAGATAGGTTCGGGGTGGGTTTTTTCAAATGATTGATGACATCCGTTCAACGCATGGCGTCTGGTCTTTTTCAACAGCAGCAAGTTTTGGGCCACTTTTATTTCGCTGTTAAATTATATATATATATATATATATATATATATATATATATATATATATATATATATATATATTGTAACAACAATATTCTCCAAATCGTGTTTTTTATAGCATTACTGGACTCTACTTTTAACAATAAGTAAGCTCTAAGTTTAACAGAAGCATCGCGATGAAATCGATTATAAACGAAAATGACATATTCATCATTAATTAATCCTAGCTAAGGATCGGAAGCTCATGAAGGATTGAAATAAAGTTCAAATATATATATATATATTATTTCAGGATCCTTTTTCAAATTATTCAAGATGATCTGCGCCCTTTCTAACCTTCCAACTTTCTGTCTTGGTGTAACAAAGTGCCCCATGCGTTACACGTACGATTTTATTTTCAAGTCTCTGCTCTTTGGACTGTAATAGCTGAAACTCCTCTCTCCCGTGCCAAACGTCTTATGAATTAAGTTGGAGCTTTTCTAATTGGTCTCTTCATCTGTAAGTTGAAATGATGATCCCTCTTCCTATTGTGACCTCTTGGTCCAGTTTTCCTTTCTAATGTTCCCTCTTTTTTAAACTTATTCACCATTCTCTTGATGGTTCTTGAATGAGCTTGTAAGGCCTGAATGATCTTTTTTTTTCTCACCATTGCTCAGTTGGGATTTTAACTTGGTCTCTTTTAGCTGGATAATTCGAAATGTCTTTCAATGATTCCTACGACAAATGGTGTCAAGATAGCAAAACATCTGAAAACCACGAAAAATGAAATTCAATTAGTTTCGTGTGGTTTTAGATATTAAACGTTTTGTGGGATGGGCAATTATGCTGTTACATGATTTGGACAATTTTGCTGTTACAACCGGTATATATATATATATATATATATATATATATATATATATATATATTGGAGAACGATATATAAAATTTATTATATAAAGTAAAATTTCAGTGAAAAACATGATAAACTTGAAAACAGACTATATACGTAATACAAACAGTTTAAAAATTAAAAATAAATGCTGCATCTCTTTCAAATACGAGTGTCCACTATAATAACGTTTAAAATAATAAAAATTTTGGATAAAAATAAATCCATTAATTCTTCATATATATATATATATATATATATATATATATATAAATTCATGAATCATTCATACAAAAAACAAATATAGAGGTTAATGATTTAAATGGCGAGAATACATCGTCGCAAACACATAAAATGGATACACCAACCCCGAACCTGTATATGAATGATATGATCCCTGTTTATAAATTCCAGTTGCATAAAGTTTTTTTTAGTTTTTACAAGCTTTCGTCTGTTCCTACAGACATCATCAGGTATGGAAGTAGATTTTGTTCTTGTTTTTACTTCTCGGTAATAAGAGGACAACGAAAATAGAGATGTAATCCGAAAAATGTGTTATTGTTCCAAAACAATAACACATTTCTCATAGCATTTTTTCGGATGACATCAATATTTTCGTTGTCCTCTTATTAGCGAGAAGTAAAAACAAGAACAAAATCTACTTCCATTTAAATCATTAACCTCTATATTTGTTTTTTGTATGAATGATTCATGAATTTATAAGTTATATATATATATATATATATATATATATATATATATATATATGTGTGTGTGTGTTTGTGTGTGTCTGTGTAAGCAAATAAATGGATATAGATCCGACAGTATGAAGAAAAATATACAGAAAAAACAAACAAAAATATTAATATGCAATTATGCTGTATTAATGTTAATGTAAAGTCAACGTCGGACGTTTCGGTCTATTTTAGACCATCATCAGGACATTATCATCTAAACATAATTAACATTAGAACATATAAAAAAGATTTTTGTTTGTTTTTTTCTGTATTTTTCTTCATATATATATATATATATATATATATATATATATATGAAGAATTAATGGATTTATTTTCATAAAGATACACAGAACGCACACACTCAATTAAGCTGAAAAATCGAATCATCCTTGATAATGGCTAAAGGTATAGCCGAAAGCGCTCGGAAATATAAAACATATGGACAGTTCTTACACACCCTTTGTCTAGAAAAGAAAGCTCTTGTTCGGACACAAGAAAAATTAAATAAAAAGCTTAACCGTAGTACCTTGTCTGTCCTTTTTTTAATGAAACATGCATATATATATATATATATATATATATATATATATATATACATTTGTCATATATATATATATATATATATATATATATATATATATATATATATATATATATGACAAATGCGTTGGTTTCCCGTCATAATGAAACTGGCCATGTTTTTGACATAAAATGGATACCCTGATTAAAGGAGAAAATATCTACAGTAGTGTTTCTCAACCTTTTTACCCATGTGGAAATCTTGAAATACCTTTTAATATTTCAGGGAACCCCTGCACATAGATTATTATATACTAGTATTAATATCTCACTGTTATAGT